GGAAGGTGTTGGCGGCTGCTGGCTGCAGGCGTTAGGTGTCTCTCCGGACGAAGGTGGCAGAGTCATGAAACCTGTGTGGTTTTGCTTTCCAGTTAAAGGATGAAAGGTAGTAAGGAGCCGTTCTTTGTGAAGTTCATAAAGTCTTCTGGAAACTCGGAGTTTTTTTTTAAAGCTCTTGAGGTAGGTGGGTTTGATGACCTTTCTCAGTGAAGTTGCCGTATTTATTTTCTATGTAAGCGTCTTCTGTGGTTGTCTCGGGATGTAGTGCGTTTGTACGCATCTGTAGATAACACATTTCAGTGATAGAGATGCTCAGTGTTGTTATTAAAGTTTGTTTTGCATGATTATTCCTAGATCAAGAAGCAATTCTTTTTCATTGTGTTTATTTATTACTTGTAATGTGATAGTTCCATTCAGAAAACTCTTCTACATCTTGTAGATTCTCACAGAAGAGGGATTCTGTGGGCCTAATGTCTTGCTAAAGGTACTGAGGAGCCTAAAATTTGGAGATCAGCTCTGCAAAGAGCAACTGTCCAGTACAGCAAATAGTACCATGGGAAGTACTATTTCTCTTGGAGGGGAGGAGGGAGTAAGGGGAGGGAGGAGTGAATAAACGGTTTTAGCCTCCTCTGAAAACCTCTTAACGTTTAATGAAGTAAACTGGAAGCTTGGCAAATCCAAATGGTGGTCACTCATCCAGACTACTGAAGATTTAGTAAGGACAGTTCATTTTTCTCCTCCTCCTGGAGGTTAGTGGGAGTTAAAGGCACTGTCTGGCAGGATGAGGTCCTGAAGGTTTGTGTGCTGAACATATAGTTCTGAATATTGTGAAGAATTGGGGGGAAAAAAAACAGGAGATATCTTTAGCCTTCTTTTCTACTAATATGCTCTTATATAGTTTTGTTGTAAGCTCTTTTAAGTAGACAAGCTTTTGTAGTTTCCACAGGTTTAACTGTTTGTGATTTGTGAATTAAATAAGTGTAATTGTGTGCACTGTTTTCCTGCAGTCCATAAAAGAATTTCAGTCAGAAGAACATCTGCAGATCCTTGAAGAAGAAGCAGCGCTCAGTATAAACGAAAATGATAAGTCCCTTTACATTTGCGATCCTTTTAGAGGCGTTGTTTTCAGTCATCTCAAAAAGGTCTGCTACTCATCAATTTACTTTTAACTATACTCTCTTTTGTAGGAATACTCTGTCTTTTGTAGGAATGCTCATGTCGATAATTATACTCTGCATGTTTTCTCTTTCTTTACTGAATATAGTAGTCCATAGTAAAAATTCCAATGCATTTGTAGTTAGGGAAGAGGAGGGCTGACAAAGCGTAACAATCATCTTGAAGCAAATGGAAAAATAAATACAGTGATCAGTTCTGATTCTGCTGTAGTCAGTGAGCTGGCTCTCGCGTTTTTTTGCTTCCCCCAGTAATGTAATTTTGTTTGACCTCCAAGAAATAATGCCAGCAGACAAAGCTAGGCTCGCGAGAATTCTGTGGCATGTCAGCTGTAGCATCCACTGCCTTAACCAAGGCCAGAAAACGTGAGAGGATGGTACTGAGAATCTGCATCAGAAAATGAAAAAAAATGTTCAACTACTTGGAGCTGCTAAAGGAGGGCAGACAATGACCTCTCCTTCCCCAGTGTTCTGGGACAAGGAAAGCTTTGTTTATACCGGTGTGTCTTTCTGCTAATCTTTGTTTTTTCTTTGATTTTACCGCAGCTCGGTTGTAGAATTGTTGGACCACAGGCAGTCCTATATTGTATGCAGTCCCAGCGATGCGTCCCAAGAGCTGAATATCCTGTGTATAACATGACCATGGCCGATGTAACAGTATCCTGTACCAGCCTTGAAAAAGATGTTAGGGTAATGGCCCATAATGGTTGTTCAGCTAATTTTTCTGTGACATTTGCTTCAGATGGCTTATTGCTAAGCCAATAGTCTTACTATATAACGTAAAAGTCTGCCTGTTTTTATATATAGGCTCTGTAGATGGTGTGTAAATTTTTGTATATAGGCTTACTATATATATGGTATGTATACGTGTCTTTGTAGTGTGTATATGTACATTTATGTTACATAAGAATGCATATAAAATTGTAAGACATTAGTCTTGCTACTGTAGGATTAATTGTATGTTTTAGGGATTCTATTAGCTGACTTCATCTTTAGGTGGATCACTTAGCTTGCTAGTTTGTCTGTGGCTGTCATGCTGCAGACAAAGTACTCTATTTCTGGTTACTCAAACTACACGGTAAAGATTTAATATCTAGTCAGCCGTGGTTTATCTCAAGTAGTTTAATTCACGTCCTTCATTGTAAAAGTTTCCTTTTTATTTATTCCAACATCTATTTCTAATTTATACTACCTAAAATGCCAACCATCAGTACATTTTCACTGATATAATATGGTTGTAGCCTCTTTATTAAGGGTATCTTTTATATTCAGCTTATCAAGAATAAAATGGAGTTAATGTCTGGTATTTTTAATGGCTTCCCGAAATATTGATTTTTTGGATTTCCAAACAGATTTTTAGGAGAAACCATAGAGATTTGAAATTGACGGGGTTCTGTTTGTTTGTTTTTTAAGGTGAGCCTGCATATGATGTAGGTTCTTTTTGCTTGAAGATTTTCTATAGTTTCTTTTCCCACCCAGGAAGAAGTTCATAAATATGTGCAGATGATGGGTGGACGTGTGTACAGAGACCTCAATGTGTCAGTAACTCACCTTATAGCTGGAGAAGTTGGTAGTAAGAAATACTTAGTAGCTGCTTCTCTAAAAAAACCTATTTTGCTGCCTTCTTGGATTAAGACACTGTGGGATAAGTCTCAACAAAGGTAAAAAAAAAAAAAAAAAACCCTCTTATTTTGTATTGTATTGTTTTGTATTGGTGCTAATTCTTATGAAGATAGGGACTTTTTTGCAGGTAATTTTACTTTGAAGAAAAAGATATTTTATTTCTCTCTTTTTTCCCTCTTTTTCTCCTTTAGCATAATTAGATATACTGATATTAACATGGAAGACTACGCCTGTCCTGTGTTCCTTGGCTGTACAATTTGCGTAACTGGCTTAAGTAGTTCAGACAGGAAGGAAGTCCAGCGCCTCACCGCTGAACATGGTGGGCAGTATACAGGGCAGCTCAAGATGAATGAATGTACTCACCTCATAGTTCAAGAACCAAAAGGTAGAATTTAAAGAGAAAATACTGTGTTCCCCTCTTGAGTTGAAGCAGTGCAATTATGCCTAAGTGTAAGGATTTGAACATCTCTGTGTCTGTTTCAGTGTTGCTTTTACTGTTTCTGTTTAGGGAAATACTGTCAATGGGAAGAGTAACACTGCATATTTACTGTGCTCTAAAGGCATTTGAAAGGAGAGCAAAAGAGGAAAGAAATGAAGACCCAGATGGTGTTAAAGGGAGGAAAAAAGGGAGAAGCCTAAAGGGATGAAAGAATAAAGAAAAACAAGTTTTTGATCGAAATTGGGTTGTAAACTTATGATTTTAAAGTTATCTATTTATTGAACCTCCTGAGCTCCCATTTGCTAAAATGGAATGAAAACTCCTTTCCTTCCTCTTGGAAAAGATAAAGAGTTGTAGTTGTGTTTTGAGAAGAATGGGAATACTTCCCCCTCCCCTTCCAATTTCTGTCCCTTTCTCTATGGGATAATATCTTGATTTTTTTTTTTTAATTCTCCCTCTGGTTTAAAGCCCTTAAATGTCATGCGGTCACTTTTTTTTTTTTTTTTAATGGCAGAAGGACTTGGCACAGTTCTTTTATGGAGCTTTCTAGTGCATCAAAAAATGAGACGCTTCAGTTGAAGGATCTTCCGGGTATTTGGGTATCATAATAAGAACAGTATGAAATACCTGTCTTTCATAGCCTCGCAGAAAGAAAATTTTGGGACAGGACAGTTGCATTTGACTTCTGCATGTTAAGATGTGGTGATGCGGGCTGCCCTTTTTGATTTATTTAATTGTTTGATATGGCAGTATTAGTAAAACCTTCTTGTAGGTGGGTTTAAACTTAAGCGTATGGCAAGATGAGATACCCTTAGCAATATTGTTAGTGGAAAGGTAATCTTGGTTAAAGGGCTGTAAAAATTGTAACTTGGTTTTTTTTTTCCTTTGTGCTTTGCTGCTTCACTGTCCTGTGATACTGTACCCATGAGCTAGCTATCATTACTTTTTTTTTTTTTGCTCTAACAGTGAATAAAGGAGAGTATGTGTTTGTACACAAACAAAACAAAACCAGCTCTAGAACCGTAAGACTGTAGACTCTGCACAGCAGTTTGTTTGACCTGTAATAGTGCAGTGAAATATGTTACTGAAAGAGTTTATACCATCCTCTGTAAATGAGAAGTGGTGCTATTGCTGTTATTGTTAGTTAAATACAGAAAACAAGTAAAATGCACATCTTGCAGATTCTTCTGCCAGCTGTTTTTTTTTGTCTTTCAAATGGAAACTAGAGATCTGGGATAGTTCTTTCAAAGAGTAGACAACAAATAGTTGAATGCAGCATCTTTGAATGTTTAGTTCTGTGTGTGGCCATTGGGTTTGTTTTTGCTGGCAGTAAATAACCAGCTGCTTTTTAGACAAATTAGCGTAGTTTGATTTTTGGCAAATGCAGATTGTAATAAAAATCTACGAACAACACCCAACAGCTCATCAAATGAATACAAGATAATACAACTTTGCACGTTGTCCTAACTTTATGACTGCAGTATGAGCTGCCACTTGGAACTAGAATCAAAACTTAATTTGGTAATTGCCCTCTCCAAAATCAGTTTCTATTTGAACTTTTAATTTTCTAAGTGTCTGTCTATCCTTTAGCGATCATTTTGAAGCATTCATGTTCTAGTAACTTGTGATTTTTCTTTTTGTCTGAAAGGTCAGAAATACGAATGTGCCAAAAAATGGAACGTGCATTGTGTGTCTGTGCAGTGGTTTTCTGACAGTATTGAGAAAGGCTTCTGTCAGGATGAGACAATATATAAAATAGAGGCTGGATCAAAACTAAGTAGTACACCCAGTACATCAACACCTACAAGTCACGCCAGCAAGCCCGATAGTAAGTAAGACTTTTTAAAATAGATGAAAGGAAGGTGGGAAGCTTTTGTGGTAAAAAGGAAGAATTATTTCAAATTTGTGGGGTGCTGCCTGCTTTTACGGTGCTGATATTTTGACAACTTGGGTTCTGATTCTGCTTATGCTTAAAACACATCTGCTTGATTTTATGGGTGTCGAATATTCCAACATATGTAGACTTGAGCATGTGAATAACTTCAGAAAGTGTGCTTGAATTAGGTATGTTATTGTCTGCCTAGGAATCAGTGGTGGGTGGTTGTGACTAATAAGTTCTAAAAAGTAGGACTGTTCATACCTTTGCAATTTAAAACAAGTGGCTTGTCTTATTAAATCTTACACCTGCTGCAAAGGGAAAGAAAAAAATGTGATGCTGATTTTTATTTATTTGTTTTTATTTATTGCATGCTGCAAATAACAGGAAAGTTAAAAACCATTTTCTAAACAAACGTGGTAGCGTAAAAGACACTGACAGGTTTAAAAGTATGTCTTTACAAACACCTGTTATTGGACCACTGCTTCAGGAAGTAGCCAACATGGCAGCGCTGTGTTAGCGCTACCGATAGAACATGAGGAATTCAAGCCAGATACTACAGAAACTCTCTTAATCTATAAGCTTCAAGTTGAGTTTTTTTTTTTTTACTAGCGAGGCCTCTCTATTTATATGAAATGAATATTTCTAATGATATGTGGGCACAAAACACTCGATAAGAGGAATAAAAGCTTTTGCAGTTGGCCAGTCTTGGTGGCTGTTATCTCACAGATTATATCTACTTGGGAAGAAATGGAAATTGTGTAAGCGCAATTGCTAATAATAAAACCCTATTGAGTCTGTGTAAATAAAACCCTTGGTTTAACCAAGGGTATACTTATCTAATATTTTGTTTTTCAGCTTTTGCCTTTCCTTCTAGCATGACAAAATCCTATGTGACAGTTTGTATTTTATTTGGTTAACTAGCGGAGAGAGACAAGCAAAAACTAATGAATCTCTTTTATTTTAATTTTATTTAAAGATCATACTCTTTCGGACGTCAGCCACATTTCCAATATCAATTTGAGTGGTGTTAATGAAACTGCATGTAGTTCTGCTATGAGCAGCAGGCTGGATCCTTCTTCCGATGAGCTGGAAAGCTTGGATATAAGTTCTTTTCAAGCCCCTGAAGATTTACTAGATGGGTGTCGAGTATGTTTAACAATGTACACTTTGAAATGTTCACTCTTACCCTATGGAAGCAGCTAGTTTTGAGGCACTGGCAGTCGCTGCTAGAGTAAATTACGTTGTTTACTTTATCAGTAGCAAATGCATGATTTATTTCAAGTCACACAGTGTAGCTCAAGATGCATGTATGTACCTATGTCTATATGTATATATTTTAAATACTATAGTGAATATATTCAATAATTGTTTGTTTTTTTTCATGTCATACAACTTCCATGTATAACCTTTGGCTGGGGCTTAGTAGATGTCCAAGTTTTGTTTATGTGCAAAGCTAAACGTTTAGAATTGGAATAATTACTTTGTTTTTTGCTGTGTCTCAGAAGCTACATCACTTTTGTGGGTGTGTTCTGCAGCAGGCATAACGAATTATACCGAAATATCCTACTTAAAAAAAAAATTAAAAGCCTTTCTTTGTTGCTTTGTTTCTCTTTGTAGATCTATCTGTGTGGCTTTGGTGGCAGGAAGTTAGATAAGATGAGAAGACTTATTAACTGTGGTGGTGGTTTTCGATTTAATCAGCTTAATGAAGATGTCACCCATGTCATTTTAGGGGAACATAAGGATGAGCTGAAACGCTTCTTGGACAAGACAACTCACAGGTCTGTTAAGCGTCTTGCCCCAGGGCCATTTCTGCATTGTCTGTCTTCCCTCGCTCCCATAAACAAGAAAACATGTATTGTTTTGAAAATTCTAAGCAGTTCTTGACTTAAATGACGAGGCTGCTAAAGTTGCATTCACGAGGACATCTTCGCCTATTTATTCTTGCGTGATCTTGAGTGCTGTAGTTTTTTGCTAGCCGTGAATCATCTCAAAGAATAGAAAATAAATATTCTCATATGTTAATTCTTTTTGTCCCCAGTATCGTGTAATATGTTGTGGAGGAAGGATTTGGTGACCCAGCAATAGCAGATATGAATTATGTTGTAGGAAATTCTGTGGTCTCAGACTAAAAGAAATAAGAAGTCTTCAGTTTTGTAGAGTGCACAAAGCTTGCTTAGTATTGGAGTTGCAAACTTCCTAAATACAATAGTAGCTTGCAGAGTGGGGAAGAAGAAACATAGCTCTGAAACCTGCTGTAACTTATTTGTGTAACGCTTTATTTTGTAGGCCTCATGTAGTGACAGCAAAATGGTTACTGGAGTCATTCAGTAAAGGCTTTCTACTTCCAGTGGAGCAATATATTCCTCTAAACTACCAGATGATAGAAAATCCAATTTTAGAGCAACCTGGAATAAAATCAATTCTTCCCAAAAATAACAGTCTCTCGAAGAAAGAAGCTGTGAACGTTGTAAAACACCAGAAAGCTGATGAAGATGACTTCCTCTCTCAATATGTAAATAATGATTCTACGTTAGGTAGGTTCTCGACTAAGTATGCCATAGAAAGTTTCACTGCTCATAATTAGAATTTATTTGTATAGCAATTTAAACTTGAGTTTTGTTGTGTTTACTCCTTAAAGCTAGCTGCGTTTAATGTGTTTATTTCTGTATTGTGTTTTAGAAACCAAATTTGAAGAGGCCCATGTAGAACAGGCTTTAACTAAAGCCTAGCTGAAAACAGCAAAATACTAAAATTCTGTTTTCTCTGTGAAACTATTTTTGAGTTGTCTGCCATTTTTTCAGACTTTTTTTTTTTTCTTTCAGTTGAAGGTGAAAAACTAACATCTAGTAACTTCAAAGATGTTACTCGCTTGTCTATTCAAGAAGAGAATCAATCTTCTGTGTATAATGGTTCCTTGGGAGAGGCTTCTGCAGCGGTTGAAGGACACTTATTTGTCAGAAAGAGATTTCTTCTTTTGGGTTTTGGTGAAGAGGAGGAGTCCTGCATTGCAGATCTTATAAAGGAGAATGCTGGGAAAATTGTGTCGCCGCAAAGCAGAACCATTGCAGACTATGCTGTGGTACCCTTGTTGGGGTGCGCTGTGAAGCCAACTGTTGGAGAGGTTGTTACTAATACATGGCTGGTAAGAGAGTTAAGCCTTCAGTTCAGCAAGTAAATGAGTATCTGCATTAGAAATATGCCTTGTCAGACTGAAGAGTTTCTCGTTACTTATATGTAAATGAGATATTGAGAAATTAGCCTCATGTCATCTGAAACGTACTAAATGAAAGTGTGCTTTAATGCCTCTGCTTCTTTAAAGTATCGTTTGTCTGTTTCACTTATTTTGTACAGGCTTGTTAAATAGGACTTTAATGGCACAAAGGCTTCTCGTATGAGGCCCTGGCAGCATTTTCGCTAAATAATGAGCTATTGAAGGAGCAGCTGACTAATAATGATTTTTTTTTGATATCTTTGTGCTTACTTTTTCATGCTTCCTGCTTTCCACAGATTTTTCTGTCTTGTGACAGCAAAGCAAGTCAGCTTTCCAGCTCAAAATCAAGGAAAAAAAATTAAGTATATTTAGCAAGAGGATGCGTTTGACATAGACTAAAAACTGTTCAGTGACTTAATTGTTTTTCAGTGCTAGATAACTGACTATGAACTAAGTTATGCAAACCCTCAGAGACTTTAAGGGAGCCTCCGGAGTTGTAAGAGCATTAACTGAAAAGTGTGAATAAAGCTGTAGTACATCAAACCTTAAAATTATCTAGAAAAGAATTTCTCTGATTGTATGTGAAATAATTTGTCTCAAGTGTGATGGTAGAAACAGGATTGCTTCTTCTTAAGTCCATAAATGCTGGGATGCAGTTGCTGAAACGTTGCTAGGTTTTGCTGTTATTTGGCTTGATTTTCATTTTTATTTATTTCGTCATCTTTAAGATAACATGTGTGGAACAGCAGCTCCTTTTAGATCCCCAGTCCAGTCCACTGTTCACACCAGTCCCAGTAATGGAAGGAGTCACTCCCCTGGAAGATTGTGTTCTTTCATTTAGCCAGTTCACTGGTGCAGAGAGAGACTCCCTGGTGTATTTGGCAGGATTGCTAGGAGCAAGGTACGTCTCCTGTTGCGGTTTAGTCTTGTTCTCTGACAGCCACTGTGACTAAATCCTTTATTCATTTTATTTCTTCTTTTGCAGAACTAACAAAAATTAGAGTTAAAGCTCTTTTGGATTCTATTTACTCACAAAACCCAGTGGTGAAGCAGTGAGGTGTTATCATGTGGTTCTTTATTTGCCTCTCCGTTAGAGAAACTTGTAGTTTGTGTTCGCACAGCCTAATTTCTACCAAAATACCCCAATTTTTGTATTTCCCGCTGTCTGACCCTCCGTAACTGTTTGCTCTCCTCTAGTTATCAGGCCTTCTGAATTGCTCTTCAAAGCCATGGAGCTCTTTCCTTGAACTAATCGCAGGCATTTAGGTAGAATTTAGGCTGCTGGACAAGGACCGCGTATCTCAGACTGTGCTTTTGATGCAGAAGTGGAGCCAAGCAGTTGATTAAGGAATTAGGGTTATTTTTATGATGTCTTTTCCTAAAGCTGTATGTAATTGAGATGAGAAGGCCAGGTGGTTTGAGGCGATACGTTTGTGAAAGGGGTATTGAGCAATCTTGCTGCTTGAAGTAGCAGGAGGTTAGATGGAATGGTCTAGGAGTTCCATTTATTGTTCCTCGAGTTCAGTAATTTCCAGTCCAGCCTCATAACTAGAGATAGTGCACCATTTCTTAAAAGCTGGGATGGTGAATTATTTGCTCCTAATTCTGCAAGATCTCTGAGAAACATTAGTAAAACCCAACTTAATACATTCTTGAGTGGAAAAACTGTGCAACTTAGTTACAGAGTATCATTTGATTTGCAGTCTGTTTGAACTAAACTCTTTGCCATTGTGTTCAGTCCTGCTGTCATCTGGAGGATTAGCTAGCTCCCTCATCACAGGAGAAAATTGCAATTAAACAGGAAGAAAACTATTGTTTGTTTGGAAATGATGCTTTTTGGCTCAAGAACGGAATCTAGCTTGTCCCATCATTCCTGTAGAAGAATGGTATTCTCATGTCTGATTCATACGCTGAGCCTGCGTGGGGACATCCAGAGTATGAGAAATTATACTTTTTCAATATTGATTGAAGCACAACATTACTGTTCAACAGGGTTTTGTTGTTGTTATTTTTGGAGTGTTTGGGCGTATTTTTGTTTGTTTGGGTTTTTTTTTTTGTTTTTGCTTGTAGATTAGCTTGTGAAAAGCTAAGTGCATAGTCTTAGATAATTCTACTGATTCTCCTTCCGTTGTTTGAATGTATTTTATAGTATTATAAATTTCCCCTAGATTAATCGTGTTTATGACTAAGTCAACGTTTTATTGATCTGATTTTAGAGTACAAGAATTTTTTGTGCGAAGAGCCAATGCAAAAAAGGGAATGTTTGCTAGTACTCATCTGGTGGTGAAAGAGCCGGATGGGTCCAAGTATGAAGCTGCAAAGAAGTGGAATTTGCCTGCAGTCACTGTAGCTTGGCTTTTGCAGTCTGCAAGGACAGGAAAGAGGGCAGATGAAAGCAAGTTTTTAGTCGAAAACACAGATGCTGAAGGTGGGTTATTAGCAAGTAAGGGAAAATTATCATGTATGATTGTGCAATCTGTTCAAGAAAGCTAGTACACTGTAATTGTTTTTCATCCCTAAAACCTTCAGAATATTAAAACTAAAAGATATTTTTCTAAGGTTTGGGTGTGTTGTTGGTGGTTTTTTGGGTTTTTTTGTTTTTGTTTTCCCTGAGCTGTGATTAGAGAAATGATACTGCACGTTGGCTGTAAGTCTGTTGGAGTCAGCAGAGACTTGTGGTTATCATTTAGTTGTGAATCAAGCTCAGTGACTCGACTTTGTCCTTTGACCCATATGCCACTTTGCAGATTGTGTGGAAATTGATGCTGGATCCATTTTAGAACTTAATACTCATCATTTGCAATTACATGATGCCCCTCCCTTCCGTCGTTCACGCCTGCTTCATCTACTAATGCTTCTGCCCCTTGCCGGCTATTTCACGCCTTTCATTTGGCAACTTTCTGTTCATATTGAGAAATGGACTATACTGATGAATATTGAATGTTAGCCGATTAGTTTTACCAGTGTGCTTGTGAATTAATTACATGGGTTATCAGAGAATAAAAGGTTATGTTGACACAAGCATGTCTTGGCTATATACTGCTTTTCCAGGAAAAAAGTGGGGAGAAAAATGATTGAGCAGTAAAATGTAAAAGCCATTGTAACTAATTTTGTGAACAAGCCATAAAGATGAGTTGTGTTTATTAGTGTTTGCAATGCATAAGCTTTAAGAGCTGATTCATGGCTAAATCTGGTCCCATTGATCCGAAGTTGGAATTGTATGTGGTGGCCTAAGGGGGCGTAATTCAGAATCATGAGTATAAAGGAAAATTATATTGCATGAAAAGTAAAGAACCAGGGAGTAGGAGTTATCTTTAAGTTGAGAGGGAAGGGTTTATTGTATAATAACATTCCAGTAGTTGTAAAATGATGTAACCAAGCTTGTAACCAATTGCTGTTCTGATAGGTGCTGTATAGACTCTGTGTGTGTATATGTACCTACAGAGCTAGAAATAGTATGAGTGGGACAGAGGTTGCTCTTTCATTTTAGCTGCTCAAGGTCAAGCTCGGTAGCAATGTAATTCAGACTAGTATATGCTAGAAAAGGCATTTATGATACTGACTCTTAAAATACAATCCTGTCTTCATCTGTGTTCAAAATGAAAATTAGATTACTTGCTTATGTTTATCCTCGCCTTTTTCCTTTTCAAGATAAGGAGAGCTTTGTTACTCGGCCTAGCAAGACACTTGCAACTGTTCCATCTCCAGATTCTCCAGAACAACCTACCTATCTCCTTGAAGCTGGAAAAAAACCAGCTGTGACCCCTCTTGATATCAACAGGTTCCAGAGTAAAGCTTTCCAAACTGTAATCTCTCATCATATTGGGAAGAAGACAACCCCTTTTGCAGAAGGGGTACTGCCACAGAAAGAACCATCTTTACACCTTGATACACCATCCAAATTTCTTTCCAAAGACAAGTTATTCAAGCCTTCTTTTGATGTAAAGGTGAACTTCTTTGCAGCTTTTTTAGCCCGTAGGGTTAAAGATATGCATAAGCTTAAAACAGCACAGAAACCCACGCTTAGCCTTTTTATGCTGTTAACGTGTAGCCTTTCCATTTTGAATAAAGCCAGGAAAACTGGCTCCATTTATTTATACATACCTTTAGTTAATGACACGTGGACTACATTGATTGGTGGATGCTATAATATTCTTCTTCTCTTTTTGTGCCTACTGCCACATATGCTCATGCATTCTACACCTCACATGCAGCACAATCTATCTCTTTACATCTAAAGCCTGAGAAACGTAACTAGAAGAGTTATAGTTCCTCCAGATATTGGAACAAATGCTTATTTGTTTTGTGATGAAGTACTTCTCTCACAATACATTTTAACTTAATAGCTTTATAGCGATTACAAAATGCTTATTTTTCTCCCTAGACATTCCCTTATTCTTCTTTTTGCAAATGATTGTTATTAGACTTCATTTACTGTATTGGTCAGTGACTGAGAGAATCATGGATGTTTTCCCTTTCATACTTTTAAACTGAAAGATGTAGTGAGAAGGTGGAAAAAATCTATTTTGTCTTAAAGATAGGTTGCAAGTCGAAAAACAGATTGGGTGTTTGAGTTGTTTTAGCCTTTCATGGGCTTCAGAAAGAGAAAAGAAACTATTAGCCTTAAAAAAAAAAAAAAAAGGGCAAAAAAAATCCTTGACACTAGAAATGTCTGTGCTGGAATACCTCTTGAATGACTCAGGTGTGCATGGGAAGTCTTCAGTTTGTTTTTCATTTTTGGAGGCCTTAACTGAAAGGTGAAAGTACTGAATTCTGCAAGGAGTTTTTTTCCTCAGCGAAACAGAACATGAGTTCTGTCATGAGAACAAAGCCTAAGAAATCCTAAGAGTTCTTAGTTCTGCTTCATGAAAACGGATCTCTCCCTTTGGATATCTGTCAGTTTACCCTGTATAGATAACTTCCCAAAACAAGATATTTTAGACCAAAATTTCTGATTTAAAAAAAGAAGGATGATAGCTCTCAGCATTTTAAAGGTGCAGATATAATTACATATTCATGTGCAGTTTTTCTGGGGGGAGGTATTAAAAAGGTAACGTATTGGTGTGGGTCTAGGAATTCCTGGGTTTGCCTGCTGGCTTTTCTACCTAAGGTAGTTTGCTCGAGCTCGTCTGTGTTTTCTTTTCACATAATGGAGAGATACTAATAATCTCCTCCCATCCTCTTGCTATTTTGCTTATTCACACTGTAAGATCTAGATTGTCTTGTACTGTTTTTATGCAATGGGATTCCAGTTGCACTTGCTGACTGCTTACTGTAATACAGAGTTGTGCTTTATGAGTATGGAAACTTAACACAGACTATAGATGTGAAACTTGTTCTTGAGTGAGAATGTTCTAGTGCGTTCATGTAACTCAGTTGGTTGCTTCTTTCTTGGTAGGATGCTCTGGCAGCTTTGGAAACTCCGGGAGGTCTCTGTCAAAAATCCAGGAAGTTGAGTACACCTCTCTCTGAAGTCATTGGCAGAAACTTGAAATTGGCACTAGCAAACAGCACACGGCATACAGTAGCTCTTACTACCAGTCCTCGGTTGAAGGCTGCACAACCAGAAGTGGTAGGAAGTTTTGTTTCTGGAGTTTTTGGAACATAGGCTTAGTTAAGAAAATGCTGTAATCTTGCGGTTATAAGTTATAAAGGAATTTGCAAATTGTGATAATCTTTGTACTGCTTTACGACCTGTTTGGACAAAAATCCATGTGAGTCTGTGTTCTTCAGTGACAATGAAAGGAAGGTAAGCTAGAAGAATTTCCTCCTGGAAGGCAAGGGAGAATTTTAAAAGTTTATTCTACTATTTGTTCTACTATCCTCGATGTTAAGCAGTTGCTAGGAATTGTGATATATAAATATGTATCTGTATAGATTTTGTTAGTATCTGGATGGGAGGTGAGCAGGACTAAATATTTTGTCTCAGACTAAGAGTTCATTTTCAATGCATCTTTTCCTATCCTTTGTAAGGTGCTGTTTTTCTGCTTGCTAGCAGGCACAAGGGGGTCAGTTGCTTACCCCCTTATAAAGCGTGTTATGTTCATCTTTTTAGTAGTTGTCTTGCCCCCGTCAGTCCTCATCTGCTTGCTTTCTTGTATGAATGCCTAACCTATCTTAATGAGAGAAAACAGAAAAAAGAAGCAGAAGAAATGGAAGTGTTTATGTACTGCTTGCCATGTTAATGTACTGTATCCTATAGAGGAGGAATAAGAAAGCAGATAGCATTCAGCAAGGGAAGGCTGTTACTTCTTATTTTGTAGCTCCTTAATCTCATCCTTTCTACGCCAGCACAGACTTGGTCAGTCACATTTCTGGGGCTGTGTCTGCAAGGAAAGAGTGGAATGTGTTCTGGGGAGACTGGCTGAGATGCATCTCTTGTCTTTTGATTCCTAGTGCATGGAGTGATAATAGTGCTTTCTTTTGACCAGGGAGGCTGCAGCAGCAAAAACAGGGAGAACTTGTTTATCATAGTTTTGTTGTTATATAAAGCTATTGGCATAGAAGTCTTCCAGATGTGACTCTTTCCTATTTCTCTCTTCTACTTGAACAGGAAGAAGATTCCAAGCCTTTGGCTGATGTTGTTATATGTGTTAGTAAAAAACTTAGCAAGAAGCAAAGTGAACTGAATGCGGTAGCAGCTTCTCTTGGGGCAGACTACAGGTATCAACTGATGCAAACAGCTTCTGAACTTCTGGCCTGATGTGACCTCTAATAAATCAGAGTCTTGGCGTTCTAATATCCTTATCTAGATGACCTTTCGCTGTAATTAAACTTCAGGTTTCACCATGTTAATCAACTTCTATTGCAAAATAAGGCCATCTGTTTCTAATGCAAAATAAGGCTGCCTTTTCTCCTGTCTCTGTGTTCCTGATAAGTCTGTCTTAGAAAGTGTGTTTGTCCTGAAGTTTTCCAGAATTGCAGAAAAATGTTCTTCGAAAAAGAAAGGAAGAAAAGCTATGAAACTTCTTTGAGTTTTGAGTAGATTAAAATTGACTTTTAGTGTAGATTTTTGTCTTTATTTTTTGGGGGAGAACCTCTTACTCAAACCTAACTGTTTTACCAGTTGTAAGCATGGCTAAATCTTTATTAAGCAAAGAAACAAAAACTTTTTTTTAAAAGAAAAATGGTTCTCGGTAGGAGAAACTAGCAACTACTAGCCTTTGTGACTTAGGACCGAATTCTGCTCCCACTGAATCTGATTTAAATAGTTTGTCACTGACTCCATGATAAGTGTTCTCATGGATTAGGATGTTGTCCTCACGTATGGTAGCAGCCTAGAAATGTTACAGCTTATTCCTTTATATAACAAATACAGTTTTTTAAATCGGTTTAAGTGTTAGAAGCCTACATTTTATTTGTTTTGAGCTTGAAGGGTCAGTAGTCCAGTTGCAGCTCAATATGTCAATAAAAGAAAAAGTTACCTTGCTTTAGGTCACATATCTTCTTGTTAGAGTTGATTTGGAACTCCATTTACTTGAAAAGAAAAAAAAAATAGCTCAGGAATGCTTTACTTCAGGAATGCTTTCAAAAAATCTTGAAATTGCACTATGCTGAAACAGAACGCAGTCTTTTTGGATTAAAAAAATCAGGCTCGTCCTATATTTAGCTATAACAAAGTGGGCAAAACAATACTTTAACATGAATATGGAATAGAACAATTTCTGTGAGGGTTTTCTTACAATTTTTGGTCGGAAGTGATATCTTTAAGTTGTACTTAGGGTTTTTTTTCCCCCCTCCCAGATGGTGCTTTGATGAAACAGTGACGCACTTCATCTACAAGGGAGGACAAAACGACAACAACAAGGAGTACAGATCTGTTAAGGAAAGGGGTATACACATTGTTTCAGAACACTGGCTTTTAGAGGTATGGAGCAGAAGTTTCCTTTTCAAAAGTGTTACTTAGCTGCCATTTCCTTTTGAATGGAAATGGAAACTTAAAACCAGTTATATGGCAGTTGATTTCTGTTTGAGTTTCTACTGAGTGCATAGAGAAATTGATGTTTTTGCATACTGCTTTGAGTTTTTAAATTGAGCCATTAATTTTCACCGATTTGCCTCATAAAAGACTGGAGCTGAAAACTGACAAAAAGGAGGAGGGGGAAAAAAAAACCCTGCTACTAATTCAACAGTTTTTGATTGAGCTTTCTCTGAATGGTAGCTTAATGAATATTGTCCCATTGGCAAATGTAAACGTTTAGACTTTCTCCTTGAGGAAAAAATATTCTTTCTTTTAGCATTTTGCTACGTGTTTCTCAGAATGTGTGCCCTATTTTTCTCTTGTGTAAAGTACTTCTTGCAGTGATGTCTTTATTACACTTCTCCCATGTTTAGATCTAGAATTTCTCTTACTTTTCACCCAGTTTCTTATCTATCTTATGTTAATTAATGTTGTTACAGAGTGCCCAAGAATATAAACGGCTTCCCGAATCTCTCTTTCCTCACACTTACAATCCCAAAATGAGCCTGGACATCAGTGCAGTGCACGATGCCAGATTCTCTTCCTCTAGTATACTTCCATCAAGTGGAAAACCAGCCAAGGAAAATGAGGTATAGTGTTATGAGTTATTCAGTTCACTTACTTGTTACGTTAATATAATAGTAGATAATGCTGATGCTTATTCAGTGATGCTGTGAATCAGGTTTAGCTACTAATTAGCAGTAGCTATCCCAGATGCTCCTGCACTTTTTCTGCATGTGGAATATTCTTATTCTAGGGGGATGGAGGGAAACCCAGGCCTTCTAAGATTAGAAGAGCTTTTCAAATTTGAAACAGTGTCGTCCTGTCTTTGCCTTCTCTTGCAGGTGAACAAGAGATCCAGTATGTGAACTGTCTTTTAGTAGCTACTTACATTGCAGAATAGATGTCACTGATGCTGTTACTCATTGTCTTACAGTCCTTGTGGTAAAAGAAAGGTTAGATCATTCTAGGGCAACCTCATTAATCTTCAGAATTTGCACAAGTGTTGAACAAGGTAAAACCCACAAATTCTAGCCTTAATTTGAGAATTTTACTCGTTTTAATTATTTGTAGATTATTCCAGTGGGTGAAGATGACGCTGAAGATGATGCAACTACTGACCAAATAAAGGAAACGGTCCCTACGGAGGGAGAACAAGTTGTAGCAAGTGAAGCCAAAGGAGGTAAATGTAAATCATTTTTTAGTTTTCAAAATAGTTGTGGAATGTCAAGCTATACAAGCCTCTTACAGTTTCTGGTGCTATTCTGTATATTAAGATCTGGAAGCTTTACTTATCATACTGGTATCTTTCTTTAGTGCTGGAAGTGAGAAAAAGGTTTTGCTCTCTATTTTAAAGACTCTGACAGCCCATGAGAAGATGGTGGTCATCCATTGCAATTTACTCATTGTTACTTCTTTGTTTTTAAAACACTGAAATTCATCTTAAACATGGCAATAACATTATTTTAGAGTGTAAGTTATCGTGTTATGTAGATAAACGTGTTACAGGAGAATTATGGGTATAAGCCAGATCTAGTTGTACCCGAGCAAATTTGAAAGTGATCCAACTGTGAATTCCTGCTTGTGTTCAGGAATTGGTGACCCAGGGCATAAGCAAATTTTTCTAGACTTTTGTTTTCTCCTTAAAGTATTTGCCCTGATAGGGAGAAAAGTTGACTCAGTTTTCTATTACTCTTCTCTCGTTACAATGCGACAGTCTTGATTTTGTGGGTTTTGTTTCTTCTCTTGAAGTGTTAACTCAAACCCTAGAAATGAGAGAGAATTTCCAAAGGCAGCTGCAGGAGATCATGTCTGCCACATCAATAGTGAAACCACAAGGACAAAGAGGATCCCTCTCAAGGAACAGTTTTGATGGTTTTCCAACCACCCCTGATGGCACGAGATCTGTGCGAAATGGCCGCAGTAGGGTCTTGGAAGCTCTAAGGTATTGATTTGCATTTCAAAGTATCTTATTTTGTCCTACCTGCCCTTACTTAGACAGTCACTGAAACAGGAGTAAGTCTCCAAGGTTTTCAAGTATTATATTATCTTTCTCCGCTGAAGTGCTTCGGTTCCTTATTCTCTTGCAATTCAGAATGTTTAATTAGACCTCCTAGTTAAAATGAGAATGTTATCTTAGTCCTTGGTAGGTATCTTTTTGGGTTGTTACCTTGTTTTTTCTGTGCTTAAAAACAAACAAACAAAATAGTGCGGTTGCTTTTTTGGTGTTGAACTGACTTATGCCAACTGCCTTGGCTTCCCCCTGCCACTTGAGATTAGCTGGTTTCATTATGGGTTTGATGAAAGCAGTGCTGCAGTGTTCAGTAGCAGTATTTCATTGCATAGGTCGTATGCAAGTAATAGTTATTCCTGCAAAGCGCACCTGTGCATATTTGTTCTTTCTTTTCTCTCTAAATCAAATGCAGAGAATAGGATTTGAGCTCCTGTAAGCGTTATTTTCTGACAATGCTGAGCTCCAATGAGGGAGTAATTGAAATATTGCAAAATTATTCCTTTAGCTTGTTTTTTATTGGCAAATTAATAGGTTCAGTAAAGAGTAAGGTACACTGATCATGAAATAATTTATCAGCATGAAGCATAATATAAATATCCTGTAATGGTACTTTGACTGCCTTTTTTCAGCCGTGCTAATGCTTAGGCCCGCAAAGCCAGGCTGCCAGCGTTGCTTTTATAGTGAAGCTTTTATCCTCTCCTGGCCATGCTTTCTGATAATAAAGTCATGAGGACGCTACTGTTGATGTGATCGTTAACACATTGTCCTCAGGTATTTCAGTCTTCTGTAAAGTAAAGGAATATTTAAGGCATCCATTCTTTTTATTCCACAGGCAGTCCCGGCAAGCACTTACCGACATAAACACAGAGCCATCACAGAGTGAGCAGATCATCTGGGACGATCCTACTGCAAGGGAGGAGAGAGCAAGACTTGTCAGCAACTTTCAGTGGCCTAATAGTCCTTCCCAGTACACTGAGCAAGTTCAGAATAACGCCAATAAGAACGTGGATGAGTCTGCCTTCAAAGGCTCCTTAGCTGATGCCGAGATTGCTGGTATAGGTAAAATCAGAAATACAACAGACTTGTTCTCTGCTACGGCATCAGTCTGATCTTTGGGGCTTTTAAAATACAATGGTGTGTGTTATGGCTCAGAATTCTATTTTTTAAAAAGATTAGAGTAAGCTTTGTTGGCATTTCTTGAATGACAAAAATGTAACTTTGCATCTTTTTTTGAGCTCCGTTATGTGTTGCTGTTTCTTTAAGAGAAGCTTTCCTATCTGGTTGCCACCAAGGCAGTGTTTGTCTAAAAATAGCCTGCATCGGCTTTAGGAAATGTTTTTCAGGCTTGTATTTGGAACCCCAGCTGGGTTCCAGATAATGATTCAGGCTGGTATAGTGGAGTTCAAATAGGGATACCTGTAACAGAATCTTTTTAACTGTAGTGGAAATAATCATAGGTGAAGACTGGGGAGACAGTAAGATGATACCCATGAGCCCCCAGAACACATCCCAGAGTGCATGTGCACGTTTAGGTCAGGATTCAGTCAAGATCCTGTATTTATCTTCCCTGTTCTTTTTGAAATCTTTATTCTGTGGCCAGGACTAAGGAAGCAACACACCTGTGTTGTTTGTGTCTGGTTTTGCTTTCTTCCCACTTCTGCCCGCTGAGAGATAGCGGAATCCTCTGACCCCTGCCCCAGAATTCCCTTTCTGCTTGCAGCAACAGTCTTCCTGAAAACTGACCCTGTTGTAGAGAAGATGGGGGAAAATCAGCTAAGTGTATTCAATTGATTTTTGGTTTAACTGAATCAGTGCGGTTTAGCCTAAGAAATTAGGCCATTTGAGTTTTTTCTTCTTTCCAAAACAGGACATGCAAGAACATGAGGCTGCAATATTTCGGTTGGTGCTTTGTGGTAACAGGGAAGTGCATCCTGAAGAAAAGTAATGTGGATGTCGTAGCAGCAATTGTTTTTTGTCCGTTTAGGATAGCTGCCTTTTTTTCAGCTTTACCCGTAACTATATTCAGCCAAAGACAAGTCATGCAATACCACTTTATTGTTCACAGAGGTTCCTGAGGCTGGGGATGGAGATTTGATTGAAGGTCTAAAGAATCCTGTATGTAGAGATCTTGAAACACCCATTAAAGAAGATAACTTTATTCCCACTCCACAGGCCCCCAGCATTGCTTTCCCACTGGCTAACCCTCCTGTGGCACCACAACCCAAAGAGAAGGTGTGTCATATACAGAAATGTTTGTGATTGTTTGTGTTTTCTGAGAGGTGTAACTATTCTCTAAAAAGTTTTGAACCTGAAAGTAATGTGTAATAGGTGAATATCTGCATTTAAAATACTTAGGTGGATTAGTTCCATGCAGTTCTATTTCTGACACCTTCCCCTGCCTCGCCCACGATTTTGAACAGATAATGTTTTTGGGACTGAAACGTTTATTACTTCATTATGCGTTTTGTCCCCAAAATATTTTGTAACCAAAATAGTTCCTGTTGGGATGCTAAGGTGTGCTGTGGAGTGGAGAGTTACTGTCTGTATTATCCAGAACTCCTTCAACCAAATTATGATGATGGAAAAAAAGATTAGGCCTTAATTTCCTCAGAGATACTTGGAATTTGTGCTTAAGTGCAAACTGAATTTCTTTCTGCCAAAAGCCTGGTTTAAAATGATCCCATCTTAGAGTGAACTTGGAAGGGGCTAGGAAAATGAGTTTTTAGTCTTTTGCTCACTTTGTATCAGTTGATGCTCAAACCTTGAGCAGCTGTGTGTCTTCAGAGGCATAAAGTATCGTGTTGATAAGCTGTGGTGGAAATACATAAAAGGCCTCCAAACTTACAGGAAGACTGAATGAACAGGGCAATGTGATAGATGGATGATGATTTTTTCATCTGTTTAACTAGGCATTCAGTCAATATGAATGAAGGATTAGTTTTTATGACAGATTGGTGTAGTTGTGCCCTGAAGAAAAGGGGAACCAAGAGGATGTTAAGTAGGAGCCTGATGTTGATTTGATAAGATCCAAGCCTTTGTCAAGTGATTGGCAGGTTTGGTTCTGCTTTTCCTAGCTAAAAGAAAAAACATTCTGGGTTATTTTTATATTAAGTTGGCAGAGAAATAGTCAGCTGTCAAACTGATCTTTCTGTCATATTTTCAAAATCTGTTACTGTATTTCCAGACTATTACAGAAGATGAAAAGGCTGATGAAGAACCAGAAAAACAGCGTAAATTTCAGCTGTCTTCTCTTAATCCTCAAGAACGATTTGATTACTGCCATCTGATTGAGGAATTAGGTACCAGATATTTGTGAAATGCACAGAGTAGTGTGGGTCTGTAAGCTGGTCAGCTGTGACTCTTAGGAAAAGAAAGGGCTTCTGTTAATGACTCACCAGATTTGAGGTCTCAAATTTATGGCTTTCTGTGCTTGTGAGCTATTCTTTGAATATGTTGTTATTATTAGTGTGAGTTACCAGCTTTGTCATAAAACAGCACTGGTTTTGTCTTCTGGCACTTTCTTTTAGTCATCTCCACAGCAGCCTCATTCTTTACTGCAGAAGTGTCTAAGAACTACTATGCTCTGATGTCTCTTCCTAGCTCTGTTACAGTGGCACTTTTTAACAGAGCCACTTTTTCCTGACTCCTTCCTTGCCAGCTTTTGCCCATGTCACCTCAATGATAATATTTTCTGTGTAAATTTGAGTTAAGTAAGTGTATTTCTGTCTAAATTCAAATAATTCCCACTTTGCGGGATCCTTTCTGAGGTACTGCCTGACCTTTAATTAATTTGAATCAAATTCATTCCTCTGTTCCAAGGTGGAATAGTGCTTGAGAAACAGTGCTTTGATCCAAGTTGTACACACATTGTTGTGGGACATCCTCTACGAAATGAAAAATTCTTGGCCTCGATGGCAGCTGGGAAGTGGGTACTTCATCGTTCCTACCTGGAGGCATGTAGAAGAGCTGGCTGCTTTGTTCAGGCATGTGACCTTATTATTGAGCAGTGATATGTTACACCTTTCACCTTTTTTTTTTTTTTTTTCATTTTGCACTGCTAGGAAAGGAATAACTTCTCAAAAGTGATTAGCAGTTTAGGGTGCGATTTTTTTTTGGCCAACTTTTCTCTGAAAACCAGTTCTTGAGCAACCTTCTTGTGCAGGACAAATGAAATACCCATACTCAGGAGTTTCTTCTGAAAATTGAAGTTTAAGCACCTTTGGTAAATTGTCACTACTGTCAACTGAAGTCATGTGGATTTCATACTAAATATTGAAACTAAATGTTGATCTCTTCAGTTAACGAACGTAATCATTTTAAATGATACAACTCTATAACCGGGTACATAAGCATTTTGAACATTATCTCTTCCAATCTCTGACCTCCCTGCATAACTGTTTCACAGTTCTCCTGGGTCTAGCAGTTCTTTTACATTTACCAGGCTAACTTCAAAATAATGCCAGTAGGCTGATTCATATCTTTATGTATAAAAACAACTTCCGTTGTTTTGGAAGAAACTGTCGAAATGCAGATTAGATGATGTTCAAAGTAGTGAGTTGCTTTGCGCTCACTGTTGAATTTTGTTTTAGGTAACTGCAAGAGGAATTTGGTTGTGTACAGTGTGATTGATGTCACTGAAAACATGAGTTGATTTAAAACTGGGAGGAGGGAAAGCCAGAGTCTCTGTATTCATGGAAGAGATGCATATATTCAGTTAAGAGCCATATCTCTCATTTTAAGTAGAGCTGCTTTAGCCAGGTAGAATCAATATACAAAGCTAGAGTGAACTGCAACTTTTTCTGTTTTTTAATTTTCTGCTGGTGAATTTGGCAAGGTTCCTTAGTAATTCAAGCTTATGATTGCTCTAGGAAGAAGATTATGAGTGGGGAAGTAATTCCATACTTAATGTTTTGTCTGGAATCAATGTAAACCAGAAGAAACTAGCACTCGCAGCCATGAGATGGAGGAAGAAAATTCATAAAGGGAGGCAAGAAACTGGTATTGTTGAGGTATTTAGACACTCATGCAGAGTAAGTGGTATGGTATGGGTGGGCAGTGCAGGAATTGTCACCAGCAAACCCAGAAACTTAACTGGTAGG